AAGAAGAGGCAGTCGCTCCATATATCGCTTGTTAAGCTTAACGCAGGAATGCTTTACAAACATTCAGAGGTGGACTTACACACTTGCTTTACTTCTCTCGGGATAACTTTGTCGGAGATGAAATGCCAGGTTGCTAGCGAAGCTCCAAATGCTATCCAGACCACTGACAGGTCCGCATGCCACAGCTGCTCTATCACGTGATGCATACTGCTCCGAGTGCTAACGTTCTGAGGTGAGTTAGGCGTGTTGCAAGTTTTGTGAGGTGCTTTCGTGATATTTAATGGATCGGATTACATTTTTTATTTTTCTCCGATATCCGATCCAGTAATTTAGGTCAGTATCGGACCGATACCGATACGTAATATGGGATCGGTCCATCTCTTATTTAGACTGAATTCAACAAGATGTAAGCAGATGTTTCATGTTTGAAGCGGGTGTTTCACAGCTGTCTTGGCTGATTTCCATTTCCTACAGTAACAGTATACTTTTGATTTTGTCTTTATACTAGACACTATACAAATGTTACAACAGTGGAATTTAGTAAATTAGTCTAAGTGTCATCAACTTAAATGCAAATTATTCTTCTATATTTGATGTAACCAAACGCTGACCATGAGCGTCACAGCCACCGTGGACCTGTCCAACACAGAGCCTCATCAAGTCAGGTTTATTTATTTATATAGCACATTTTAAAACAACAGGGTTGATCAAAGTGCTTAACAATCAGCAAAAAAACAGCGAGACATTAAAAGGCAACGGTATGCGGTATTTGACAGGGAGCCAGTGTAAATTAGCTAGAACTGGGGTGATGTGATTATACTTTCTAGAACCTGTTAGAAGACGTGCAGCAGCATTTTGAACTAACTGCAGACGGTAGAGAGAAGAATGATTGAGGCCCAGGTATAAAGAGTTACAGTAGTCCAGTCTAGAGGTGATAAATGCATGAATACGTTTTTCAAGTACTTTCACTGGAAGATAGGGCTTCGCCTTTGATATCAAACGTAACTGGTAGAAGCTATTTTTTACCACTGAGGACACTTGTTTATCTAATTTAAGAGAGCTATCCACTCTCCGAGGTTTCTTACCATGTGAGAGAGAGCTGCTGTTGGCCTTCTACCACTCCTCAGTGGGGAGCGTGCTCTCCTGCTGACTGGGTGTTTGATATACACTACTGAGAACAGGAAGGCTACGCAGAGGCTAATTAGCACCTCCCAAAAAATAATTGGTTGCCACCTCTGGAGGCCATTGCCAATCCTTGCATCTCAGGAGAACCAGGGCGCTCAAATGTGGCCACTTGCACCCCGCCCACCTGCTGTTTGACCCGCTGCCCTCTGCTCAGCACCTCATGTTAATCAGGTTCCACACTAGTGATGGGATTTCCGGCTCTTTTTAGAGAATCAGCTCTTTTCGGCTCCGAACCGGCTCTTCAGGTTGTTTTGTTGCCTTAATTAATTTATTATTAACAATAATATAAAATTATGCACAAAAGGAATTACTAATGTAAAAAAGTGGTTTTATTTATATATGTTTATATATAAATATATGTCGTGGCCCCTAAAGACAAAGCACGTGCAAACTCCAAAACACATTTCTAGCTTTAACTGAACTTCAAAACAGAGCTACTAGATCACTTAAATTACACAATTGAAAGCATGTGTGTATGGTTTGTGTATTTATACACAGGCACTCATATATATTCAAATAATTTAAACAAATGTTCATTTACCTGTTATTACCACACACCAAATCCGGTTGTTGGTACTTGCTGGATTGTGTAGCCTCTAGGTAACAAAAGCTCAACACTGCCCCCTAGCATCCTGGAGCACTTCTGTTCTGTTCTGTACGTGTTTTGAAGTTTGTATGTGCTTTGTCTGTAGGGGCCACCGTAAATATACTTTTATTTATTCACTCCACATAAAATGTAATAAATAAATCATATAATACAAAAATCAACTATTCACATTTCAACTTTTAACTACCGTAATTGTCGGGCTATAAGCCGCTACTTTTTGCACAAGCTTTGAACCCCGCGGCTTTTAGTCAGGTGCGGCTTTACTATGGATTGTCCATAATTTTTGTCATATCGTAAGACGATTTGTTTTGTGTGTTCCGCTGTTGTACGGCACTACGTTGCCTGGCGGAAGGATCGGGGTTCAAGAGTGGTATGTTAGTCACATGTCCGTCCGCCAGGCAACGTAGTGCCGTACGAAGTAGCGTGAAAAACAAACTTCAAAGTAGCGGTACGCGTTCAGCGGGAGGCGTGGATGATGAGCGGCGATAAACTTGCGAAAAGCAAGTTATGCCCAACTCCACCGGTGGAATCTGACAGCGTGGAAAAGTGCGAAAACATCCACGATCACCAACGGATGTTGAAGGGCTGGACTGCTGCATGATGGTGAGGAGGACACCGCCACGGCCCTGCTGAGGGTGTTCGACTCCGACACTGACAATGAGGATTTCTTTGGTTTTGAAAGTGACAACGAAGGAAAGAAGCTGAGAGTGGATGACGTAGCCACCCTGAGCCTGTTCGTATCCGACACTGGAGAAGAGGACTTTGGTGGTTTCAGTGCGCAGGAAGAAGAGAAAGATGGTGGTGAATGACTGACTTTTCTTCTTGTTAAAGCTGTGTCACTGCACCTGAGCTGAATCTATTTTTCTGGTGTGCTGTAGGTTATTGTTATGTACTACATGTGCAAATATGTACCCATAACTTGTTTTTCAAAATATTAATAAAAGGGGTGTGTCTCCAAACAGCCATCTCTTTCCTGACAATTCGCTTTGTGCATATTCTCTTACATATGATAAGTCAACATTGAAACACCTGCGGCTTTTAGTCAGGTGCGGCTAATGTATGTACAAAACAGGATTTTCCCCTGATTTTGGCTTGTGCGGCTAATATTTAGGTGCGCTTTGTAGTCCGGGAAATACGGTATTTAAATTTTCAGCTTTTTCCTTTTAAACAAATTTAAAGTGAAACAACACAAAACTCTGCAAACCACAACACAATTAAATATAAATTATAATATGAAAACAAAAAGAAGATGCATATTCTCTGTCATATGGGCCCGCATGAATTAACTTTCTGAATCCTTTATCATCCGCAAATGAAAGTAGTTGTGGATGATTACTATACCTTTCTAATGTGAAAACAAAAAACCTACGGCTCGCGATAAGGAGCCGGCTCGCGTCGTTCACGTCAAAGACCCGGCTCTAACAACCATTTCGTCCGCGACCGACACATCACTAGTCCACACCTCCAGACTTACAAACAGCTTCTTCCCCTGGGCCATTTGAACTGTTAGCATAAACTGAAGCCATGGTCTGAGTAACCTGAATCACTCAGGCCACTCACACACGGACGCTATGCAGACCAAGTCTTTTCTTTGCACTACTTCCAATCACTTTGCCACTATTTTGTACTCTAATGTGTAGCTTTCTCTTATTTTTGCATATATTTCTCCTGTTTGCTATTTATTTTAAGTATTTGTTACTTGAATTGAAAAGGAGGAGTAGAATCACCATTGTCAGAAAACAAATTCTGCATTCCTAACTCATTTTTTGGTTTACTTATTTCTCTTTTTAAACTGTTGATGTTTTTTTGGTTTTTTTGCTTGAGGGTCCTGCACGGTACCTCTGTTGTCTCTCTTCTGGACACAGATCTATGATGTCATTCCTGAGATCTGCTGAAGCCACTCGGACAGTTTAGTGGTCACTTTAGTGTGGGTAACACTGTAGCCTTCACCTTCCACATCTCGAGCTTCTCACGTTCCCTCTTCCTGATGATGCTGACAGACAGAAAGAGAGAGAGCAATTGTTATTTGATTCTTTTGGTCGTCTCTCTATTTGTCGATGACAATAAAAATAAAGAATACTTCAGTCTCATCTCCTAAAACTGGGGATCTGGAAAAATAAAGATTGATAACATCTTCAGTGTCTGTGAAGCAGAGGGGGGTTATTTGGATCAATCTTTTTTTGGACTGTGATGCTGTGCATCATAAGTTTGTATTAATTGTCACTGCTGCTCGAGAGATGGATAGAACAGGTTCCAGTGCATAAATGAAAACCTAAAACCTAAGTGAGAATTCACCTTCATCTTCCTCACATTACAGGCGATGCAGAGTAAAAATCCATCGGTAGTTGAAGTTTCCATGGCATCCAAACTGCAACAAACGGGATTAGCTCAGAATTATTGACTTTCGACGTGACCTTTCTCACCATCCCTCTGCCTCCCCAGGCCGTACATCTGCTTCGTTCCTTGCTTCTGGTTGTCTTCTGATAGCCCTGCTTTCCTTCACAGCTCTAAAATGTACCACACGTACAGCTACATGTAAATTCAGCTTATATAGATGTTGTCGTGGGGTTACTACACACCAGATGGAAATGAGTAAAAATAGAACCCGTGCATGTCTTAAAATAAGAGGCTGAACGTCTAATCAGAGAAATATTTGTAATGCCGACTTTACAGTACAGATTATGCTTCTGTATCAGTATCTGTGTGACTGATTTTTCAACTCTCAATAGCTTATTGTGGATCTAAAAAAAGTATTTATATGCATGTGTGTGTGCTCAGTGCATGCGTGGTTGAGCACTTTGTGGGCGATTTGTGCAGCAGATTCAAACCCCTCAGCACTCTCCATCTCTGTTCTTCTCTCTTCCTCTCTCTCTTTTTGTTTTTCCATCTCTCTCTCACCCTCACTCCCTCTTTCTCTTTGAGTGGAGCCATAGAGACACTGAAGCTCCATTCCTGATAGGTATTAGATGTTCTTTTTCTTATTTCCTCCTGTATATCCCTGTGCAAGAGCCGGCATGCTCAGTCATTGATCAGGTCTTGCTCTATGCTTTTGGAAAATTCTGCTGATGTTACTGGAAGCTTAACCATCATCTTCTTATTTTTCTTTTTTTTGAAAAAGCAAAAGTAGGAGACTTTAAGGGTTCCAGTCTTGTCTTAGGGATGTTGTCAGCTGCTTCATTTGAGTGATTTTTCTCTTTTCCTTCCACAGGATAACTGTGCCAGAGTGCTGCTAGTTCGTGGAGCTGACAAGGAAGTAAAGAACTACAACAGCCAGAGTCCTTTTCAGGTAGTGTAAAAAAAAATCTTCAGTAGTGTTTGTGTGTAAGTGATTATGGAAGATTGATTCCAGCTTTCAGCCTGGGGAAACCGTCTTCAGAAGCAGCACATTTTTTTCATCCCATTTGTTACCATGGCAACGGTGCAACATGGTCAAGGTCAGCTGCAACCAGGGATGTAAATAGCTTTCTTGACAATATTCGATCATTTGTGATTAAACATTGTTAGGACAGAGCACAACCAAACCTCAGCATGCAGTGTAAAGTTTACCGTGTTTATTCATTTAGTTTCTTTTCTTTAAACTTGTAACTTCCACCAGGTCACCAGCAAACTCCTGGGTAGGCTTTACTATTAAACTGCATTTTAGCTGCACCTTAAAGGAAATCAGAAATTTTAAAATGTTACTCTTCGTACATTTTGGCCCTCTTCTCTTATTAGATTGCTATTTTCTTTTCTTTTTATTCGTATATGTGAATATTACAGACAACCCTAACCCTAAACAGATCTCTGGCAACCTGGCGCATGTTACTAGGTTAACTGGAGATCTTTAAATGTAATATGAAAATCATCTAACTATAACAAGCTCTGTCTGTTTTCCTCCAACTTATCCCTCAGTTCGTTCAATCAGTCACAAAGGTAAAACATTTAACCCCTTAATTTTCTCAAGACAGATGAAATGATTATCCTCCATAACATGGAGTGTATGTGCACAGCGGCTTGAGCTGGTATTCAAGCGCATGTGTATTTGTATGTTTCTGCTTGCAGTGATTGAAGTGTATATGCCTTAGCAAGCAAATCCATAAAAAATCCCAAGAAGCAGTAAGAGTTGTCTAACTGGTATGTTTGACTCATAACCTACGCCCGAGTTATAAAATAGCCATATTCAGGCAGGCGTTTATGAAAGGCAGTCCCACAGGGTCCTCAGCTGTCCTCCAAAGCCACTCCAGTGGAGCGCTTTATTAGCGTGAGCACTTCAGAGGCAATGAGGCTGAGCCGAACAAAGTTTTTAGTCAGAGTTTGAGCTTTCAGCTAAGAAGCTTAGTTTGTAGCCTAGACTTTGGATTTAGCTGAGTTGCTGTTAATATGCAGTTTTTTCTCTATCTTTGTGATGCTTTTTTGTTTGTGTCTGCTTGTTTGTGTTGTTCATGTTGAAACAAACATGTAGAAAACCCTGACCCTGTGAGGAGATTTGGTACGGTGCAGGCAGGCAATAAATTGGCTGCATGACTTGAATAAATATGTTTTCGTGGACCAAGTATCCTAACTTTGAAGATGGCCTAGGGTTCCACTGAACGTGATGATTTTGATTTTTTTATGCCAGCAAAAACACCGAGTGAAGCTGTGTGTCTGTCAAGAACGAGCAGTGTCACAAACATGTGGTCTAGACTGTTTTGTCCATATTTGTGCTGTCGTTGCTTCTTTGCTTAGCTTTTTGCTGCAGAGAAGAAAGAAGTCATAAAATAAACTTTGTTTTTTAGCGCTTCAAACAATAAAATGGCTCACTGCAGCCATGGTCTGACTTTTTTTGTTTTGTTTTTTCCTTTAATGGGTGGTTTTGTGTTTCTTCCTCTTTGTAGTGAATCCTGCTCGGGTTGTGCTTTGGTTCCCACAATCCTTCTGTCTGCATAGCCAAAGAGTTATGCAAATGGTCACCAACATAAGACCATAAATCCTTAGAATTTCAGGCACAAGACAAACATGGAGTAATACGGAGTTTGAAGCATTACTAGATGTGAAAACTCTCTGACTTATGTAACTCTGTTATGACAAGGCAGGCTTTTTTTATTTGTTTGCTAAGAATATGTATTTAGCCCGCACTCACTATCTCGATCAGATTACCTCTTGTACTTTTCCTTTTTAAAGAACCTTCAAAATAGCAACCCATAGAGTATTTCCACTTAAATGGAGTCTGTTTTTCACACAGGGCTGTTAATGCTCCGGCTGCATCTAATCACTAAGAGAACATCAACAGTAGTCAGTATGGTAATATACTGGAGGCAGACAATATAAGAATCAAGCACAAAAACTAAGGAAATGGCATTTAGTTGATTTTTTCTTTCTTTGAACACTTTGGAGATGGTACTGGATCTCTCTCCAAATAATAATGCTGCAACATGAAGTTGCTCTGTGGCACGGGCCCTATCCAGATCAGTCAAGCGTGGCGTGCTTGGAGCAGACACCAACTGACCGCTCTAGCAGGGTCTGTGCTCACAGGTTCTAATCAGGCACCTGAGTGTGTGCACCTGGGCACCAGAAGCTCCAAACAAGAGTCCATAGCAGAATAAACTTTTTGGCATTGGCGCAAACCACACACCTATCTCTGCTGCTCAACCAACAAATACGTTTTCCTCACAACGGTGGAAAGTAAACACACAATTTAGTAGGTATAGGGTTTATTTTCAAAAAGGATTTACTTATCCTTTTTGTTAAATTTATGGTAAATGGCCTGTATTTGTATAGCGCTTTTCTAGTCCCTAAGGACCCCAAAGCGCTTTACATATCCAGTCATCCACCCATTCACGCACACATTCACACACTGGTGATGGCAGCTACATTGTAGCCACAGCCACCCTGGGGCGCACTGACAGAGGCGAGGCTGCCGGACACTGGCGCCACCGGGCCCTCTGACCACCACCAGTAGGCAACGGGTGAAGTGTCTTGCCCAAGGACACAACGACCGAGACTGTCCAAGCCGGGGCTCGAACTGGCAACCTTCCGATTACAAGGCGAACTCCCAACTCTTGAGCCACGAAATTTATCACATAATCACAGTGCAGTTTGACTGTTTGGAGATTTTTTTCCTTTCCTTTTGTCTTTTGAGAAGATAAACCAATGGATCTATCAGCTTACATTAAAACTGACCAGCCAGCTACTTACTAGGGGAAAATCTGTGTTTTTCTTTACAGAGCTGAGTGCAAAAAACTGGAAAAGCAAGCGGCCACATCTTAGTAGTTATTATATAAGTTCAATCCTTAATTCAATTCAAACCTGTGATTATAAAAAAATTACCTCACTTACAGTTGTGATTAATTGTGTAGTAGGCTGTTTGTCTCTGCTGTGTGTTGGACATTTTAACATGGAGCTCTGTAGGGGTGACTCAGAGGTGAAGCAAGCCTCACGTGGCCGAGGCACTGCAGTTTTTGACACATGCCTTAGTTTTTCTCGAGGTCACTGGTTGCTGTTGGAGACTGACTACACCAATGCTTAGCCTTGGACAGTATTTTCTATCAGCATCATCCAATCAAATATTGCCTAACTCGGGTTACAGCTGGAATGTTTGGAAAATCTATGCCAAACACCGAAGTTGATCCTGAGAAATATATATGCGGGGGAAAAAACCTAAAACTAAATATTTGGGGTTTGCAGAACAGTGACATGAGCTGTTCTCAGCATTAGCCAATACATCAGACAAACCTCTTGTGTAGCTAATACACTAAGTCTCATGTGATTGTATTTGGCGACTTTGTTTAATAGCAGCATGATATCATGCTTCCTCAGCTGTCAGGTTTTGGTGTAATTCCTTCAGAGCTCCAGAGCTAGAATTTTTTCTGTAGCTTTCCAGCAGATATCAGGAAAACATACAGGCAGAAATCTGTTGTAAAAGCAGTTTCTCTTCTGACAGCAGGCTTAACAGTAAAACAACAAGCAGCCACTAGACATGTTGGACTCTCACTTGTTGTCAAGTGGAAAAAATTCACTCTCTTGCTCTTACTATCTTTATCATTATTGCACTCTCCACCTACACATGGAGCCAAGAGCTAAATCAAACAAGTTTATGCTTGTTTTCTGGCCAGCAGACATCTGGGAAACTGAAGGAGAAATATTAGTACATCAGAGGCATAAAGCAACATCGCATTAACTATAGCACATGACCTCGGGAAACAAAAAGCAGGTCAAACTTATTACAAGCACAAAACTATATGATAAGAGTTCTAAAACGTACTTGGGCACCTAAAGTCTCATGTGTTTAAATGGGCATAAATCTGCAGCTGTAACGTCCTGATTACGTCCTGGCTGTAGCTCAGGAGGTAGAGCATCTGTTTAGACCCACTGGCTGCTTCTGGAGTGTCGGTGTCGCTGTCCCAGAAGCATCCACATTGCAGTTCCTCTAAGGGTCACGAGCCAAAAGTACATCGATACTCATCCATCCATTTTCTACTCATCCAGTTCAGGGTCGCGGGGGGCTGGAGAGGTGTGGTGCTCCCTGAATAGGTTGCTAGTCACCGTAGACATCCGTAGGAAAATGTCCACCTTTATAGCATTAAAGGCCATATTTACAACCTGGCATTTATGCATAGTTCTTGGATAAACTATTTGGATGCTGTAATAAGAGGTACAGACAGCCCAGAGTCCAGCAAAATTCTGGTATCTAATTAGTCTGTTACTTAGCACTAATTAGCAGGTGTGTGTTTGGCTCAGAGTCAGAGTTCATCCTTTCCTGCCTCTTTTATGAAACTAACTTTGGCCTTCAATACAGGAAAGTCATTATCACAGACTGTGTAAAATATGGATGTAGACAGACAGTGTTGGGAAGGTTACTTTTAAAATGTATTCCACTACAGATTACAGATTACATGCCCCAAAATGTATTTTGTAACGTATTCCATTACGTTACTCAATGAGAGTAACGTATTCTGAATACTTTGAATTACTTAATATATTATCATGCCTTTTACAACATGAATGTCCTATTGCTGTGTGATTTATTACTGAAGGCTACTCTCCACACCAACACCAACTAGATGTTTAAACCTTAATATAAATGAGTAACAGTAGGTGGACTTTAGGTAAGGCTGCACTTTTTGCAGCGATCTCGTATAGAAAACTATTCCTCGCGTATATAAAACAGGTCCGCGGCTCCGAACCGTAGTAAAGGACCTCTGGCTGATAAGTCGGGTTCGTGTCGGGCTCGTAGCTGAAAACTAGCTTTACTTTGCTAGCGAGAGGCAGAGAGAGGCGTTGAAAGGCTGCTGCAACGGAACTTTTTGTTTCGGAGGAAAACACGAACAC